TTTTTTCCGCACAGGAGCAAGGAAGGTGAGGTACAAGAGCAACGCGGCAACGAGGGAGATTTCAGGACAGGCCTCTAAAGGTCTTGTTTAAGATCAATTAGAGAGAAAGGATTGTCTGCGCGCAGAAAACACCTTCTCCTATAAAGATCTTAAATCCTGCAACTCCCTACCGCATTTTTACTCACCTTCTACCGCGCGTGTCACTATGATAAACAGTTAGGTTCAGTGATGAAAGGATTTCAGTTTGGACTCTGAAAGGCCCTTCATACAGATTCTCACAGAGGCAGGTAGAGACCAGGAGTGCTAAGTCGAAAGGACTGGTTTAGCATAAGGTCGGATTCTCCCCCCTTCTCATGACCGACTAGTGCAGCAGCCGCCCCACAAGTTCTGCGTTCACTGGGAACTGATCCCAGTTTGAGATTCCAAGTAGCGCACAGGCTTCGTGGGCAGCAAACCTTGAAGGACTGTCTGCAACGTTCGAGAAACTAGGGACCCTCTCGATCCAACCAAAAGAAGGGTGATCCACTTCAAAGGCATAAAACTCTCTGACCAACGCACACATCGTGGGTCTTGGGCTTACGCACTTGATGGCTGAAAAACGAGCTGCTTCATTGTCTACCCACCATATCACTCGGCGATTGGTGAGCATGTGTTTGAAGTGCCACCGAATGGCCACCATGGCGTACAGCTCTATCTGACAGATAATCTGCTCGCCAACTTCCGCCAGCCACTTGTCTGCGAGGCCCTGGGGAAGCAAGCCACTAAAAACCCAGCGATGCTGAGACACCGTGTCGATGATTACTGCACCAAGGCCACCCTTTGAGTTGTCCCAAGACCCATCTGTAAAAATTAGCACTGCTCTTGTGTCACAAACAGATGAAACCACTCGAGGTCTGCATTTGCTAAGGACACTAATAGCATACTGACAGAACTCTTTCAGCCCGGCCGCACGCGGGTTTGCACCCCGGCGCATCACTTCCATGCAAACGGGATGGAGGTACCTCCCGGCAAAGAAGCCACACGCATAGCGCAGCAGTCCATGTAGGACCTGGGCCTGGTGCAGGGACAGGAAACCAGACACGCCAACTTGTTGCAGCTGTTCACAGATCCGGTCAATGCGTCCCGGCTTGTTCTCCAAAGCGAAATGCCCTTCAGGGATACCTGCAAGGTCAAGGGTGCAGCCCAGGACTTGGAAACTGAAGTCAAAGGGTTTCCCTTTGGGACCAGTGCGAGCGTGAGCGCACCCTAAAAGGTCCAGCAGCTCACTCACACTCTCGTCTGCATTAGTGGCCAATTCTTCTGGCGAGAACAAGGGAAAATCGTCGTAGAAAACCCGACAGGGTACCAACAGCATCTTGTTAAACAGAAACCACAAGCTCCGGCTTACACGGTTGAATGCATAAACGGCTGCGGTCGACCCAAAGATCAGCGAATTAGCAATGAAATATTTTGGATTCCCAGAAGCGTCATGGAAAAACAGGACGGTCAAATCACGATGGTCTGGTCGAACAGCCATCTGTTTGTAGGCTTTGGACAAGTCCAGACACTTTCCTTTCCACTTGCCAGATCCAAAATTTTGCTTGCCGCTCGAGGTGGCTTTCGCAATCTTCAGGGCCAGTCCAGCAATGTAATCAATGTCTTGCAGTTTCAGGTAGAAAGTTGAAGTATACCCAAAGTTGAGCTGAGCTTCCAAACAGTCGTCGATGGGACGCAGCTTCTGTTCGGCTCCCTGTACGAGCACAAACCTCCGGATCACCGACCAGCGATCATGTCCAAACACTTGGGAAACTTCATCCTCTGAGGCGAAAGGCCCCTCAACAAAACCTGCTTGCAGCTCCTCCATCGCAGTCTGCTCCAGGCGTGACACGTGGGCAGGGTCGTCTACCGAACGTGTCCTGCCCACGATGGCCTTTCTGCGCCATAGGGCCGAATCCCTAAGGTCTTGCTCAGTCAAAGTTGCGGGCTTCAGAAGCGGTTGAAAACAAGGGGGGTCGTCGTGCTTACCCACCAAAGGGACTCCATTAAACATCAAATCCACAACACCGACATCATCGTATCCATAGTGCTCCAACAAACACTTCCAAAGCAATAGTCTTTTAGGCCGCAACACCTTGGCCACACTGGTCGGCATTTTTGAATGGAGTTCGGATTCCTCACTCTGCAATTTTGCCGCGAAAAGCCTAGCTTGAAGAAGGTTCTTTTTTCGCTCCACCTCAACTAGGTGTGGAGGATACTTGAGAATGAAGTCCAGCGCTTGTTGTGTCACCGGTTCCAAATGCTCAGTCGAGTCCATGGGATGTTGAACCGACAAAGCCATGCTCAAAAACTGTTTGGGTGTATGGAGAAACCCCACCTTGTGGTGTTTGGCCAAACTCTCGTCCACGCAATCTGCTTCATCTGTTTCCTCCTCGAGAACTTCACCCCCTAAATGAGGAGACAGGATTTTGGCGCCACTGGGGAGAGTGGACGCCAAGGGAAGCCGTTTGAAATGGTGATATTCCGGGATCAAAGGGGCATGCCGTTTGGACTGGCGGCCTGTAGCAGCAGTGGAGAGATCATGCAAACGAGGGGCAGGCGCCAAAGACCATTGCCGCTCAGCAGCTGCCTTGGCCAAACAGGCAGCGATCCTCTGCGCCAGCAACGTCGGGTATGCAGCTTCCGATGATGTATCAAAAAGCCAAGCACCGTTCTCCCATCGAACACCCCATGGATCATGGGGGTGATCGTTCTGACACACTGCAGCTAAGTCGTGGAAAATCCCTGGTGTACCAAGCCACCCAGTGTTCTTGCGTCTTGTTGACCCGTGACAACATGCGTGAAAGGTAACCATTTCCAGATAGTTGAGAGATCGAGCACAACTGAGCGAAGACTCCCGGGCCATGTGAACAAGGCAAGTCCAGAGCCAACTGTTGGCCGGGTTCTCAATGCTAATTATGACACGGCGCTTGCAACAAAGTTCGATGATCTCCAGTGCCAGCCAGTATAGAATGTTAGCGCTGGAAACCCGTGCTTGATGATGCTCAGCAAGACCTGGAAGTCCAAGTGGGAACTCAGCAGACCTAAGGGGAGGTGGCTGCGGAACTCCCTGGGCTCTGAGCTCTGCACTAATTGGCCGTTCACGAGCTCGTGAACTTGTCCCGCATGGCAAACCGATGTGGACTGCAAAGAGGTTTGTGCTGCCAAGAATGTCCCAAAGTATTGACTGCCCTCCTGTGGAAGTCAAATCTAGTGAAACAATTGGTGAGAGCGGTTGAGCCACTTGGTGGTCAATGCTGACAATCTGAAAGCCTGCTTGCGCAGCTGCCTTAGTAAGCGAAGCTCGTCCTGCACATACTTCAACAAACAAAGGTTTGAGCCCCACATGTGAATTCGGTGGTGAAACATCCGCCTCCGTGTGTCAGTCCGTGTGAGTGCAAAGGTGATGCGGTTTGGGTCGATGACATCCAGCCTTGTAGCAAAGATGGAAACCGCGGGCACACCTCTTGCCCGGTGGGCCCTTGAACTTGCACTTGCCAGTCTGGAAGCCAAAACACAGCGGACGGTTCTTATCATCATGACTCACACAGCCCTCTGGCAGCTTTGGCTTGGAAGACGTGTCAGTAGCCTTCCCGACACCCTTTGTTGCTGCCTTGTCCACTTTCTGGATCTTCGTCGGGCGGTGGTTCGCAGGTGTCGGGTCTTGTGGCGCTCCCTTGAGTGATGGTAGCGGTGTCAGGTACTGCAAAACTTCGTTGGCTGCCTTCCATTGGACGATCGCTTCGTCCAAAGGCTTCTTTGCAGGAGGGGTGCTCTGCAACCTGCCCATGGTGGTGTGGGATGCTTGTACAAAAAGAGCTCTGTCACATTCCAGAACCTGCTGCAACGAAATCTTGGAGAACCCACGCGGTTGGTCTTTGATCAACTGCTGAAAAAGATATTGAACCCATGTCTCAATAACTTCGAAACTTGCGATCCCAGACAGGTCCATTGCCAAGCTCCTTCGCTGCCATGCTGCCCTCAGCTTGAGTTCCGTGTTGGCCTCACAGGTAGGTTCACTAGCTTTGCTTCCTACTTTGAGCAAGCCGGAAGCATCAGTAGAGATTGCAGGGTCCTTTTTGATGGAGTTCACCTCGAGAGCTCGGCTGCAGCACTGCTCTGGCTTGACATATGTCAAAATACCGGTTTCGCACATCTCCACGAACAAATCCACTAAGTGGTTTGAAGGGATGGTGTCAGGTGTAAAGATGATGCCTCCAAGTCGCTGCTCCTGATCGGCTTGCCTCGAAACTCGTTCTGCTGTAGGGAGCTTTTTTGTGGCCACAGCTGGATCCGGTGTCGCCCCAACACGCGACCTCACATCGGCTAAAGCCATTGTGTGCGCCTCGAAGAAGAGGCGTCGTAGTGACGCAAACTGGTCTCCATCCACCTCCACCTCAGCCAATGCATCAATGAAAGTTTTGAATGGTCGGTCGTCAGGATGCTGCGGTGAGTATGCCACCGAGAATGCAAAGCGACCAAAGCTCGCAAAGTTCTTGTCAACTATTTTGTCAATCAACCACTGCTCAATGCCAATCTGTCGTGCTCTCTCAACGAAAGCTGCTTGCGATTCAAGGGTTGACGAGGCCATTGCTCTATACCCTAGCTACAACAAACTACAGAGTCAAGAGGTTCGTTGGGATGTACCTGTTCTAGCTAGGGCCTGGGTTGACTCCTTAGCTATGAACATCGTACGTCCTACGGTTAAGGGTCAGCTCGCTTTCTGCCCCGCTTGGAAAGCCCTCCATCTGGTGGATTCCTGCTGCATGTTCTGATCCATGCTGCAAGCTATTCACCAAGGCTCTATGACTCTATGCCATTCAGATTTGGCCAACGCATTCAAATATAATAGTTCGAATGGATGGTTAAAAAGGGTGCTAGGAAAACACAGTGACACAGATTTGATTACCAGCGCTTTCAACATGGTTGCAGTCTGGCATGAACTCAGTGTAAACCACAGTATAAGATTCCGTGAGGCCACCGTTTTTTCAAGTCAAGTGGCTTTGGGTCCGCGCGCGCGCGCGCCTCCGACAGCCGTTTTTGAAGCCCAATAAGGCGCGCGCGCGCGCGCGGACCCAAGCTTCCAAAACGGTGGCCTTCACGGATCTTAATAAACCACAGCACTTTTCGCTCTGCATTCTGAGGGTCGCACAGTTCAGTCTCCGGCGTTGCGAAAAGACTTGGAGCATTGAGAACAACCCTCAAAGTGATGACCTAAATCCTTCAGGCTTGCAAATGACCGATAGTTTGGAGATGTTTTCCTCCCACAAACAAAGGTATCATCCTCGTTAACAACGTGGACAATTCCGGACAGTTTGTGCACAAGAAGGTCATGCAGTGGAACACCTGGGAAATCTGAAAACGAGGTCAAACTGTCCTGCGACCGGGAAGGCACCTCCACGCGCTCATCGATCTCACTATCAGAAGCTAAGCTTGACTCAGAGTCTGAGCCACCAACCACCTCTGCTCCTACTGCCGGGGCACTCGCCGTTGCAGCTCGACCTTCGGGCGACTCCAAAATCCTGTCAATCGCCTTGGAATCAGGTTGGAACTGCCCATTCCGAATCGACAGATACATCTGAAAAACTTTGGAATAGAGAGTGGTATAGGCTTCGCGTGAATAGGTGAGTACCGACCGCATCGACGGGTCCACATGATGTCCAAGTAAACGCCGCTCCGTGGGCGAGAACTGCACCAAAACTGACCTTCCAGCCCAAGTGAGGACCGTTGTCTTGAGACTGTGGGATGCATACTTCTTTGGCTCAAAATCTGCACAGGTGATCGAGAGGAACTCTCGAAGCCAGGCGGTGGCTTCCGAAGAACTCATCAAGGTGTCTGTCCAGTCCATCGTCCGCATTGAAAAACTGGGCAATGCAAAATCCTTAAAATTCAGCGACTGATTCACCCTAGCTGAAAGCCACCTTTTGGCCCAGTCCTCACCCATCAAACCAGTGCCAATTGCAACATATGGCAAGAATCGCGTCTTGGCGTCCAGCGTGAGAGAAGTCTTCGAGCTCAGTGCATCTGCATGAATCACGGACTCTCCCTTGCTGTGTTCGATGTATGCGGACTGCAAACGTTGACTGTCCCTCCATCTACAGCATGCGCGCAGACAAAACAGCAATTGTCCAATAATGCAGCAATTGGCATCTGTCTCAGTTTGCATAAGCTCTTCCAAGGCTCGGACTTGAAACACCGTCAAAGGGCTCTTCTGAAGCAAAGGGTCCTTGCCGAGGTACATATCCCTGGCTACCCCTCTGCAGCGTCCAGAAACAACTGAATGCAAATTCATCTGAATGAACTTTGCCGTACCATCCAAGAAAAACAAGGCCTCAATCATATGCTGCGCTGAAGTAGCACCTGACCCTTCTTGTCTCAAATTGCACAAGACATTATACAGCTGTAGTTCAGAAATCCTAAACGGTTTGAGGACTCCACATTCCTTCAGCTTCGAGGCGAACCGCCAGAGGGATTGTGCACGTTTCTGGAGTGTCGACGAGGCCTTCATCCTGAAACAATCCTGAAATGATTGCTCAATTTCTCTGTCAGTTGCACCATCGCTCTGTTCCCAAAGGCTCTTCCCGAGTTGGGTTGAAAGTGGATCACCTAAGATCAAATCACGCAACTTGCCAAGGGCCAGCCTCCTGATATCCTCGTCCGGCTTCTCCTTGCGAGTACCCTTCAGGAACATTGGGGTTCTTCAACGACTCCAGAACGCAAAACATCTTGCAAACCAATGGGTGTAGGTGCTAATTGATACTTCAACCCAGCTACAACTGTGCCAGAAAAGACAGTTCCAGTTCGAAAGACCGAGGAAACTGAGGCATCTTCCCAAGGCATTACAGGCCTCGACAGCCTTCCCAAAGATGTCACTGAGCTCTGTGCCAAACGTCTCCAATCGGGTTCGCTCCGGTCAGGATCCAAAACAGTCGGAGGACGAGAGTCTGTGACTGCTTCATGGTTGCCATGGTCAAAACCAAGGGTACTACTATCTCTCAAAGCACAATTGTCTGTAGGAGCAATTGAAGATTCATATTGAAGTGACTCACCATTCTCTAAAGCGTTTAAGAAAGCGGGCTCACGAGGGAAAGCTTGATGTAGCAGGACCTGTTCATCAAGCTCATCAGTCGGTGTTTGAGGAAAAGCCTCTGCCCAAGGACGTCGAAATCCCCTCAAGGAACCAGAGTCAACTTCTGCATCATCGTCTACCATTCACAGCGGTGGCTAAAAAGAAAACGGAAATCAAAGACGAAAGGTGCTCAGCAAACTCCTGAGATTGTCACCCATCGCTCGCTCCGCCCCCGATGCCACAACTTCGACAGTCAGCTGTCAAAAGTGAATGGCATTTCCCACCCGCCACTACCCTTGAACCCACGGTGCAACGTCGAGGGTTAGTGGCTCATCATCGACATTCCATGAGGAACTCGAGACATGTATAAACAATAGAATGTTGTCTCCACGAAAGAAATTTTAAACATGGAAACATTTTTTCCGCACAGGAGCAAGGAAGGTGAGGTACAAGAGCAACGCGGCAACGAGGGAGATTTCAGGACAGACCTCTAAAGGTCTTGTTTAAGATCAATTAGAGAGAAAGGATTGTCTGCGCGCAGAAAACACCCTCTTCGTCTGCAGGGGCCAGGTCAGGTTTAGCTCCCATAACACTTTTCGTCCTCCAAAAGGAAGAAGCCTCGAGTTCGTCCTGAGTCGTGGTCGCCGGGACAACAAGCGGCCTGTACCCTTTCGGGGCCTCTTGCATGCCCACAAGCGGGAGGCCCTTCACAAGGAGGTCAACAACGCTCATGTCGTCGTACTCCAACTTTCTCAAGATCTCACCAAAAAGGACGATGTTCTTGGATTTCAGTCTCTCTTGAAGTTGGGGGTCCATGCTGCCTTTCAACTCTACTTCTCTTGGCACAAGCTCGTCAGCTAGCTTTCTGAGGTTCAGCACAACCTGGAGTCGTTGTTTAGCAAGCGTCACTGGGTCGGTGGTTATCACATGCCTGATGGCTTCATGAGTGGCCTCATTGATGAAGTGCTCAGTGTCCATTGGATGCACGACTTGTTTAGCTTGCTCCAAAAACTCGGCTGGGTCCCTAAGGATACCATACTTGTATGTGTGCCTAACTCGAGATTTCTTCCTAGGGGTCTCGTGTTGGTCCAGCGTCCCGGTATTGGCCCCCGTGATGGGAGACGCCAGGAGCTTATACGAGGGAAGGTCTACGGGTTGGTCCAAATAAGCAAAACCCTTATATTCTGGCACCAGCGGGGGATGACGAATGGTCTGAGCGCCGAGGCTATAAGTGAGGAGATCTTTCAAGCGCGGATGCACTTGCGGCTCGAGTCCCAACGGCAGCACTGCTTCGGTGACACAGGCTGCCATGCGCTTGGCCAGCAGGGCCGGGTATTCAGCCTCAGTGGCCGTGGGATAGACCATTCGAGTACCCTGAGCATATGGGGTCCATGATGCGTGGCTGTGAGTTTGCTCACTTGAAAATGTTCACATGATGATCGTTTGTCAGGTCGTGGCCTGACCTTGGTGTGGTGTCGATTGGCCTGATGGTCAATTGGGAAAACGGAAAAACCTGCACGGCGAACAGCATCAGAAAAACTCGCAGAGCCACAACAGACTTCTATGACGGTGCAAGTAAGCTGGTTCGAATTAAGACTGGGACTCGACTGAGGCTCTAGTCACAAGGGGCACTCTGCCCCGGGGTGAGCCTTGTGGCAGTTCTTCCCCAGCAAAGGCGCCAACCGATCATGCACCGCTTGCCAGGCTTGATCTTTGCTTTGCATCGGCCAACATTGAAGCGTTTGCACAAGGTCTTATCACCCACTTGCGATTCACAATTGTCTGGAACGACGATGGGAGCGCCCTGAATTGGCGGGTTCCCTTTTCCTCCTTTCCCCCCACCTTTCTTTCCTTTGGGTCCCGGCTGAGTGTAAAACGGAGCGGGGGGCTCATGCTTCGTGTGGGGCTCATGCTTTGCGATGGACAATGGCAGAGGCGTGAGGTGCAACGAGACTTCGGCATGATTGGTGAGGCGCTCAAAATTTGGTTGCGAGAATATACAAGAATGGTTGGGCCATGGGGCCCTCTATTCTTTTCTTAAACTGGCTAGCGGATCTTCCCACCACTCAGGTTGGGGCAGTGCCACGCTATGCTGTCTTACGATGGGCTCTAGGAGAAGATGCTGACTTCTGGTTGCCCCTCAGGGGCAAGCTCAGTCGTAGCCAACCCTGTGTTTGGTGTAGCAACAGCACACGATGTTTCCCATATGGACCGGGATACGGAGCGCTCTGCCCGACTTGTTTCCTACCTGCTACTCCGATCGATCTTACCTTAAATAACCTTTCTGATGAAAACAAGAACTTTTTGCATTTCCATCAGATCATCGTGCCAGAGCCCAAGCAACTGCCCCCTGCCTTTTCTCGCCTACTGTCCTCTGTAGGCTGTCGAGCGATTGGCTCTTATGTTCCCTGCGTGCTTTGTCAAGGTGGTTTCAACTCTATCGATCATTGGTTATCCTTTTGTCCTGTTGTGCATCTCACCTGGCTTGCTTTGTGGGTTGCTCCGGCGCCAGAAATTACCTGGCGCAAAGCACCGTCCCGCAGCACAGGAGTAGCACTTTGCTACATGCTATTCCATCTTCGACGACTAGTTACCGAATGTGGCGGACTCCGACCTAACATCCTGTGCGTGCGCAACCGTAAGGTCTCGCACCACGTGCTTGACCTCTGGCAGCGTATCTATTCTTCGTTGCCTAGCACGCTGCTCAGAACCTTCCGTGCACCACCGCAATCCAGCAGCAGTGCGTGTACTGACTCAACCAAAATTAGGCTGCAGCGCTTCCCTGCGGTTGTACTAGAAGCTGCACTGCTCCCCTCCAAGGGACTAGCGACGATACAGTCCTTTGCTAAAGGTGATACCATTGCCACCTTCGTTAAGCAAGACCACCGTCTAAGGTTACTTCTCTCACAATACCGAAAGCTCCCTTTCCCTACTGCCACTGCATGTCTTGTACCCTTCTTGTGCCATTGTGGAGCCACGCATTTGCGCTTGCAAGCCATGGATGAGATGCCCGCAAATACAATTCTACTGCTAGGGGAGCCACAAGAATGGCAAGGATGCTTGGTACAATTCGATGGCTCTGCACATAAGAACACACAAACTGGAGGGGCAGGAGTTAGCTTGCTACACGTCACGCCGTCCTCCACTTCTCTTGTCCAGTGGCTTTCCATCCCCTTGCTTTCTTGTCCTGACAATGTCATAGCAGAAGCACATGCCTGTCGTGCTGCAATAAATCTTGCATTTGAGTACTATGTCTCCTGTATGGCTAAGGGAATTCCTATTGACAGCGTTGTGATTCAAGGAGACATCTTGCCTATAATCAATTATCTTCAGTACAAAGGGAGAATTAAGAAACCTGCAGTTGTCGCCATTTTAGAACAATGCCAACAACTGCTTGCCCAGGCGCCTTGTCTGTTCCGCCTCGTCTATCTGCCACGGGAATGCAATCGTCTAGCCGACTACTTTGCTGGTCAGGCTAGTGCTGCATCCAAGGAGGCGGAGGGCAACCCACTTGTCCCCTTGCATCATGTAGCTCTCCCGCCTTTTCACCTAGCACAAACTCTGGGCTTTATCATTCAGCAGGGAGATGCGCTGCAAGCCCCAGCTTTTGTGCTCACGGAGTGCCCTTCTCCCACTCCCCAAGAAATGCACGTGCTACTCCGAAGGCACCCACACTATAAATGGGTTGCAATGGACTATATTGCTCTGGCAGTGTCGTCCTCACATTGCCTCGGCGTAGGATACAAGCCCACAGTTGACGCCTTGGGAGGCCGGTTTTACTCAGTTGGCAATGCAGCGCAGCGGTTGCCGCGGCAGGTTCGGCTGCTCCTCTTTGGCAATTCGCATTGGGAAATAGATATTAGTGGAGCGCACTATGAACTCATGAGACGACAATGCAAGACGGATGAGGTTCACCTTACGTTACAGCCAGTTGCGCAAATGAGAGATTATCTCAGAGGAGCTCTTCGGGCATACATAGCTGAGGATGAAATTGGCTCTCTGGTAAAGACCTGGCCACTTGTTATCCTCAACAGTACCACTCCGCAGGAAGCTATAGAGTACCTCAAGAAGCGCATACAAGTGGAACCATCAGGTCAGTTGGTGAGTTTTGCTCGAGAAGTGTTCGCTGCTAGCCGTTATGCCATGCACCATCCCCCCCCATGGTGCCCAACTGTTTCAGTACGAACAGGACGAGGGGCTCCCTTTCATTACTTCGAGGTCTTAGAACAGCAGGTTACGTGGCCTGCCTACTCCTTCTTACAACCTCGGGTAGGAGTTGCTTCAGCCATTTGGTTGCATGATGGCTTCTGGGTTGCTCCGCGGCCGGAGAATGCCCTGCTCACAGCCCTGCATACTTATCTCGGCCAGACTTTTAACTTTGACCCTGACGAGCCGCCACTGATGCGGTGTGATTCTTTGCAGCCCAAATTTGCACAGCTGTTATCTGAATGCAACTCCACGACCCCCGTCACCGGCTCACACTCCCGTGCCTCCTCCCAACGGCCTCTCCCTGCACTAGTGCGCATACACAAAAAACGCACTTTCACTGGCGCGCACCCTGAGCAGCAGGAAGCCCTTGAGCAACGACTCACAAAACGAATTAGAGCATACAGTACCAAGCG